ATCATGAAGTATGGTTTTCAAAAATATAAATGTGAAATTTTGGATAAAAAGGGAATTACTGTCTTGCTGGGCGTTCGCACAATCTGATAATTGCATGATGGGAATCACACATTTGACTAATGCTCAAAAGATTTTCTTTCAGACCATCAACAAGAAGAGCATTTTCGAGCTTGGGAAGACCAGCAACACTTATAGAGCTTTTACCAATGACTCTAGAAGTGCCGCCATCTCCAAAGGTAACAATTCCTCCTTCATATTTTTCAAGGGAGGTGAAGTAGGATTTGTTACCGGACATGTGACGAGAACAGCCACTATCAAGATACCACATGTGTGAGTCACGTGCTTTTAGGACAGTGTGAACAACTAAACAAGTCAAATCATCTTTCCTCACCCAAATCTTTTTGGTCTTGGTCAATGTCTTGGCGTTGTGAACACCTTCATGAATCTTGGTATTCCGCCTAGACATGTAAGATTGTCTCCTAATCCAAAAAGTATTCGAATTTCTATCCTTTTGAGACACCTTACCAAACAATTCATAGCAATAAGGATGAATGTGGCCAGACCTACCACAGTGATGACAAATAAAAACAGGTTTTACCTCACTTTTGTTGATCTTACCCACTTTCGGTAGATGAAGAGAGGAATCATCCTGGTCTACCTTCAACTTTTCCTTTGCTTGAGTCTTCAGGTTCTGTGAGGTAGAGGCATGTCCCTTGTGAGCTATCGTACCATAGCCTAGCCCGCTTTTGTCACAACCCATTTGTTGAGACCCGAGGATTTCTTCTAGAGATTTGGAACCTTTGTTCCACATGGCAATTGTGGCTCTAGCAACGCGAAGTTCTTCATCTTTCTGACAGACTATCTCTTCCAATGTAGCTTATGACATCTCAAGGCTTTCAAGCTTCTCTTCATATGTGGAATACACCTTCAGAAGTTCATTCCTTTCAGTTTCACAGGATAGAAGTTTTCCACATAAGTCTTGCCTGTCACTTGAGATCTTGATGATATTCTGCTTTGCTACTACAAGCTCTCCTTTCAGTTTGACATTCTCACTTTCGCATGTTTTGAGCTTGAGAGTGAGTTTGTCATTGATTTTAGACAGATTCAGAGATTCATCATAAAGCTTTTCGTAAGCTTGTTGTAGATCATCACCGGTAATCTCATCATTGTCTTCAGATGTAGATGTTTCATCATCATCTTTTTGCTCCTCATTCTTCTTGACTTCATCCAGACGGGCAACTAAGGCAAAAAAGTTGCTGGATGGTGGTGAAGGTGAATCTCCTCTTTCATGAAATTGGCTCAGAATTTCCCATGCATCTTTAGCCTTTGTGCAGTGAACAACTTGTTGCTGTTCTTCATCAGAAATTGCTCCACGAATAGTAGTCAGGGCTCTTTGATTGCCCGGATTGTCTGCACTTTCTGTATTTTCTTCAATGGCTTGCCAACCTTCTGGTTCGAAAGTTCTCAGAAAAGCCCTCATTCTGATTTTCCAATACAAGTAGTTAGTCCCATCAAAGGTGGGAGCATGATGCAGGTTCTGACCACGAGCTAATTCCAATGGCTTTGGAAGAGGTTGGGCAAAAGTGGTCCAAAATGCCATGAAAGCACTATCCCGTCTTCACCAAATTCAGGTTCTTCGGGTTCTTGCTTCGACCCGCTTTCATCATCCCAAGTCACAGTGTAAACTTTCTTTCGATTCTTTTTCGAAGGGCATTCAAGGGGAATATGACCAAACCCTTGACATTCATAGCACTTGACCCCTTGCCCCTTTACAATTTTCTTTTCAGTTTTTGGAGCAAATTTTGGTGGAAAAGTTTTGGGTTTTTCATTACTCTTGTCTTTTGAAATAGGGTCTCTGAAATTAGGCTTCTTTTTCTTCAAATTTTTTTTAAACTGTTTAGTAAACATAGCCGTAATCTCAGACTCTAAATCAAATTCAGTCTCCGGAGTTTTTGCAGTCTCATGAGCACTAGTGAAAGCCACACTATCTTTTTGTTTTTTCTTTGAAATCTGGTGGGCTTCATAAGTCTGCAAGTTTCCAACCAACTGATCAAAGCTTGAGGGTATCAACATTCTGAGCCTCCTTAATGGCTGTCACTTTTGATTGGAACCTCTCGGGTAAAGACCTCAAAATTTTTCCAACAACTTTAGCTTCAGGGATTTTTTCTCCGAGAGTGAAACAGGAATTCACGATATCACTAAGTTTTGCATAGAAATCATCAAACGTCTCATCATCACGCCTAAAAAGGGTTTCAAAGGTGGAGGTGAGACATTGAAGTTTCGACCTTTTGACAGAAGGGGTACCTTCGTGAATCGTTTCAAGAATGTCCCAAGCCTCTTTTGCTACCTCACATGTGCAGATTCGACGAAACTCTTCAGGTGTGATGGAGCAAAACAAGGAATTGAGATCCTTACTGTTTCAACTCAAGTTTTGGTAATCAGTTGTGTCCCATTTATCAAGGGGTCTAGGAATATCAACACCATCAATGGTGACAATAGGTTCACTCCACCCATAGATTACGCAGTGCCAAACTTTCTCATCGATGGATTTTAAAAATGCTCTCATACGTGCTTTCCAATAAGAATAGTTTGTACCGTCGAGTAAAGGAGGTCTATGAGTCACCTTCACGAATAGAATCCATAATACTAGTCACACAAAATCACACTCCTATAGTTTTGATAAAAACAAAGAGTGACCTGCTCTGATACCAATTGAAAATCCTAAGTGATTCGTGATTAGAGTAAGATTAAAAAATTCTAAATCCTAATTATTCAAAACACGCAATCTAAATCATTAAGCACTTACGAAAGTGATTTAGATTGTTGTTTTCGGAAAAATAATAAATCGACACAAATGATTTTTACGTAGAAAAAACCACAATTGAAGAACTTTCAATTGTAATAAAAAACCATGGGCGAAACGCCACTAATCAATCCACTATTGAAGAAAGAAAGATTACAAAGATAATACACAAATTACCCAACTCAATCAATTCATTTTCGAATCTTCTGTAACTCTTTCACTACGCCTTCATCTCGGAACTGATCAATCCTGAAGTTGAATCCACAACTTCACTTGTCGAATTAATGACTACGTACAGAATCAAACGTCTTTTGAAACTCTACGTTTGAGTCTTCGGAATCCACCGAAGAGAACTCTCTTGAATATAAAGTAACAAACTCCTTGATGTATGAATCTCAAATCATAAGTTTAGAACTCTCTCAAAAACATCAAGGAAAACTCACAAAAACCTCATAAGAAAACTTCAAACAAAACCCTAGGACTCTTGAATAAGATCTAGGAAAAGTGAAAAGTAAAATTAGCCTAAACAGGTACAAATAGGCAACTTGAGTCTGCGATCTCCACTCAAGCGCCCAACATCCCGCTCGAGCAGATTCAGCAAAATATGTGTGTGATAAAACAGAGTTCCGCTCGAGCGCTTGAGAACCCACTCGAGCGCGAAATCACACCTTCCAGTATTTTTATAGACCTGACAAAATACTGAGAGACCCCAAACTCCGCTCGAGCGCCAATGGTCCCGCTCGAGCAGGAAAGACAAAAACATAGAAGAAATTACAACTTTTTCTACACAAAGTTTTGTACTCGGATTTGACAATAAAGGGACCTAACATAAGTCTTGGCTTGCATGCATGTCTGGATGTCCTCCAAATGCTATTATTACAGATCAAGATAAAGCCATGAAAAATGCTATGCAAATTGTTTTCCACAATGTGCGTCGCTAATGGTGTTTGTGGCATATCTTGAAAAAATTACCTGAAAAATTAAGAGGATACAAAGAATATGAGGCAATAAAATTTGGTTTATAGAATGCAGTTTATGATTCCTTAACAAAAAAGGAGTGTGAAGAAAATTGGAACAAATTGATAGAGAATTATCAACTTGAAAGCAATGAATGGTTATTTTGGACACATTTGAAGAATTGTGCAAGTTAGTGAACCAAAGAAATTTCCTACCAATTGTTGTGATTCAACAGTTGTATTCTACTTATTTCTTGTTAGAAGTAGGTGTATCTAACTAATGGTTAGTTTAGATTTTGTGTTTTATCTTGTTAGAAGTTCATCACATTTGAGATTTATTTTTATTTGTTTGGAGATCTCTCACTTTGGTAATTTATATGTGCAAAAGTTATATAATACTATAAATTATGAAATATATTTAGTGGAATGGGAAGCAAAAATAAGGCCACCAAAAATAGAGTATTATAAGAATAATTACATTTAAGTAATGAGATGTAAACTCATCACATGAATTTTATATTTTATTTAGAAAGTGTCAAATGATATGATTAATGTTATATAAACTATCACATTAGATAACAATTAAAATCGAGTATTAAAATGAGATTGCCACGGTATTATTAAAAAAAAAACACTAAGAGAAAGAGAGAGAGAGAGAGGAAGAGAGATTTATTGGATGATAAAAAAAAGAAAGAAAGAAAGGTAGATACAACCCCCCAAACATATCAACTACCAAAAACTGATCAAAGATCTCCATACAAACTCCATTTTTTTCCCATATCACACCTCGACACTAAATTTTGATTTAGAAAGAACCCATAACCAAGAAGTCTCATCCCTTGTTTGAGCTCCCTCATTGCACCTCAAACACCATTCCCAAAAACTCACTCACTCCTTTAGTTTTTCGCTTTTGTATCGTTATCATCCCTGGTGGCATGTGCAACGGGTGTGGCATATGCATTTTCAACTGGTACTTTGGCAACCACATCTGATATGGGAAGTGCCTCAGATTCTTCTTCTTCTGTCCTTACTATCTTTGGTGGGGCAATTTTTGTTTTCGAGATCTTCTCCGTTTTTGGTGACTCCTTCACTTCTTCGCTCTGGCATAACCAATCAAGATAGATGTAATTTCATAACCATAGTGATAAATTTTGGCTTAATGAATTTGATTCAATACATAACGCATGTAGGTTTATTCAAATTATTGGATTATTTTAAAACACGGGCATCACTTATTTGAAACTAATTTAATGTACCAAAAAATTCAAAGACTATAATTATGTGTACCAAAAAATAGACTTAAAGATTCAATAATTATGTTTATGAAAAAATATTCAAAAGTGCACCAAAAAAGAATTAAATGATCAAACTATTTTTTTTCCTACTAAATACAAGTGTCATGTTCGAACGTGGGGTATGTTATTTTACTTATCAACAACCAATTAGTATTTTAATGCATTAATTGTTGAAAACCCATTATAATAAATGTTTAGGAATCTAAGAAGAGCAGGAAAATAAAATGAAACGATGGTGCTACATATATCAATTAGTGTACTAACTAGTGTACCAACATATGTTATGGTATTATTGTTGATCGCACTCATTATACAAATTATAAATGCCAAAGATCTCTTAAATTATACCATATCATCAATTGGTATATTAATTGATATCTTAATTGGTGCATACAGTATTATTCAAAATGAAAGGGTTAAGATGGATGACAAAATAATAATAATAATAAACTAACAATTAGCCTCCAACTTTATTCTAATTTTTACTTTATATTTATTTGTCTAACCCAGCTACTAGGACATGGATTTAATTTTTAAATGGGCCAAAACTAACCAAAAAAAAATTCAAATAGGATCGACTTGTTGAGACGGCCAACCCAAGAAAGCCCATGGTCTTACGTCATCTTCTTCAGAAATCACCCAACCCATTTTAAGAAAAATGTTATCTATCATGAAATTTTACTCAAAAATCATCTGAATGTGAGGTATATAGTATAAATTTAAAGTTATTTGAATATATATCACACTTAAAGACAAAAGTTTTGCAAAACCAAAAAAAATAAATCCAAACAAAATATCACATCCAACCCCATAATCATTTCACTTTTTCTGTCACAAACATTACATCCAACCACAAAAGAACCTAACTATCTTCCCAAACACTAAAATTTTTTTATCCAATAATATCCTACAACTAAAAAAACCTACATAAAACCCACTTCCCAAACACCCACATAATAAGGTTATAATTTTCATGCATGGTGATACTAAAACACGACTAGTGATTCTCTATTTACAAATCTCTTTGTTTCTCTATTTTAATACACTTTCAACTATTAAATCATATAAAAATTTTAAGACATTTACATTTCGAAATATGATCCAATGCTAAAACACGGTGAGGGATTCCCTTTTTTTTTCACTAAATTTTTTTTGTCTAAAGAAAATTTTGACGTATATATATATACAGTAATACTAAATGCACATAAGCATAAAAAATGCATATTTAACATTTACCTCATTGAGCAAAAATCCAAGAGATTGTCCTTCTCCTTTGTTTTCTTCTCCTTCAACAGTCACCACCTTGTTGGCAGCATTTGCTTCCGCCACGACAGCAGTGGTCTCCTCCTTTGGTGGCTCTAGTGGTGGTGCTTCACCAACCTCACCTTTCATAGACTTAGGAACGCTGGCACAGGCTCCCATCTCTTGATATAATCTCTCTCTCCTCTCTCTTTTTCTCTTTAATTTCCCCCTCTTTCTCTCTCAATGCAATGAGAGGAAAGATTGGGATTGACAAATTGAAAATGAGAGACTTGGCGGTGTAAATTATGGGTTATGTAATTATATATCTTGAGGGTTGAGGTTGCTAGCTGTTCCGACATTCTCTCCATGACACAGAAAAATTTAAGGAAAAGAAATAGATAGTTGGCAACGCATACATACATACACACTATGTTTTATTGTGTTTACAAAATTATACTTAAAAAAGATTTGAAATCAAAAATAATTGAAAGGTTGACATTCACAGGCTGTAATCTTCATCAATTAACCATTAATATGTCATATTTAAATATAGCAAACTCACCAACTTCCTATTATGCGAGCAATTACACAATACGCTCCCACTATAAGAAATTAAAATTAAAGACAAAAATTTAAGGATAAAATCACTTTTTAAGGACAAAATATTTCAAGATAAAATATTTTTGATATAGGCCGAAAAGTACCACATTGAAGCTACTAAAGTTACCTTTTTAGTCTTTCAATATTATTTATTTAGTGGAGATGATGTGTTTTGTACACTTGTACAGATTTAACAGGTAACACACAAATTCAATCAAAAAGTGCGCGAAAGCAGATTCTCCGAGCGAGAGGCTAAAAATCCGAGCCAGCTAGACCACTGCACGTACGGCCCACCTCTGCTCGAGCGGTCCACCTAGGGACACGTGCATGAAATTTTCAGTCTGTTCTACTGAGAATAAAAAGAAAAAAATTAGGCAAACCTAGGGTTTGAAATTTATTCTGGAGAAAAGGGAGACTAGGGTTTTAAAAGAAGTGATTTCTTCTCAAGCTTAAAGGAGACTTCCATGGGGGATTCTTCTTCATCTTCTTCCTCTTCCCACTCCTCTATGAGTGGTTAGGTTATTTTTTTCTTGGGTTTTGATGAAACCCTACCTATGTAATTTGGTTTTTCTTTTTGATTTTTAATTATGTAAAGGTTTGAACAATTGGCGTTTTAGAAGTTTCATATATATATTTTTCATTATTTATTCAAGTATTCGACTTTCTGTGATTGTTGAATGTTTTCCATACAATAGTTTTCTATTCTTTCACATTCAAGATATGAGGCGAACCATACAACGAGGGATGAGTCGTGTCACTACCCTAGTTTAGAGTGAATGATTCGTACTACTTGAGATGGTTCGTACCCGTACATTGAACGTGATAATTTTCTTGTTAAATGCTTTGAACTTGTAGTTGCGAAGCATTATTCCGTTCGAACCGTAACATAATTGATTTCAATTTGAAACCCTATTTACGTAACTAGTGGTGAACTCATTGCCCTAGGTTTTTTCCCAAATCAGTAAATTCATCTTTAGTTATAATTGCCAGTTTATTCACTTTGTTTAATTTAATTATTAGTAGTTTATGAATCCCTCAATCTTTTTATCAAAATTAATTTAAGAATTTAGCATTTAAATTAGTTTAATTTCACGATTGTCCCTGTGGATCGATACCTAGGCTTGTCATTATTCTAAAAGAATTTGGTGTACTTTAGTGTTTAATTTTGGTGTGTGTAACGACCCATCAAATTTTGGCACTGTTGCTGGGGACTTCTGGTGAAGTTAATTAATGTATAGTTTACATTCTTATTTTAATTTTTAGTTTAGGATTTTATGCTTTCGTGTTGCTAAGTATGCAGAGTATTTGCAATTAGGGGTGCAACTCGGGCGGGTTCGGTCGGGTTGGGAGGTTATCCAAGCCTAGCCCAAGTTGTGCTGAGACTTGCCCAAACCCGTCCAAGCCCGAATTATAACCCGAGGTTGTCTGCCCAAGCCCGACTCGAGTTAAACCTGAGTTGCCCGAATTATAAATGAATTTCAAATTATTATTATTATTATTTATTTTTTATTTTTTTTGCGCAGCTACATTATTAAATTATTAAAATTTGACTCTATTTACAATTTTTTTAAAGTTTTTTTATAGAAAATCATTAATACCATCAAAACAACATAATTGATTTCAATTTGAAACCTTATTTACGTAACTAGTGGTGAACTCATTGCCCTAGGTTTTTTCCCAAATCAATAAATTCATCTTTAGTTATAATTGCTAGTTTATTCACTTTGTTTAATTTAATTATTATTAGTTTATGCATCCCTCAATCTTTTTACCAAAATTAATTTAAGAATTTAACATTTAAATTAGTTTAATTTCGCGATTGTCCCTGTGGATCGATACCTGGACTTGCCATTATTCTAAAAGAATTTGGTGTAGTTTAGTGTTTAATTTTGATGTGTGTAACGACCCATCAAATTTTGGCGCCGTTGCCGGAGACTTCTGACGAAATTAATTAATTTAAAGTTACATTCTTATTTGAATTTTTAGTTTAGAATTTTATACTTCCGTGTTGCTAAGTGTGTAGAGTATTTGCAGTTAGGGGTGCAACTCGGGCGGGTTCGGTCGGATTGGGAGGTTGTCCAAGCCTAGCCCAAGTTGTGCTGAGACTTGCCCAAACCCGCCCAAGCCCGACTCGAGTTAAACTTGAATTGCCCGAGTTGTCCAAATTGCCCAAATTGTAAATGAATTTCAGTTTTTTTTTTTTTGTAGCTACATTATTAAATTATTAAAATTTGACTCTATTTAAAAAAAATTTAATTTTTTTTTATAGAAAATCATTAATACCATCAAAACAACATAATTGATTTCAATTTGAAACCCTATTTACATAACTAGTAGTAAACTCATTGCCCTAGATTTTTTCCCAAATCAGTAAATTCATCTTTAGTTATAATTGCTAGTTTATTCACCCAAATTGTAAATGAATTTCAGTTTTTTTTTTTTTGTAGCTACATTATTAAATTATTAAAATTTGACTCTATTTAAAAAAAATTTAATTTTTTTTTATAGAAAATTATTAATACCATCAAAACAACATAATTGATTTCAATTTGAAACCCTATTTACATAACTAGTAGTGAACTCATTGCCCTAGATTTTTTCCCAAATCAGTAAATTCATCTTTAGTTATAATTGCTAGTTTATTCATTTTGTTTAATTTAATTATTATTAGTTTATGAATCCCTCAATCTTTTTATTAAAATTAAATTAAGAATTTAACATTTAAATTAGTTTAATTTCACGATTGTCTCTGTGGATCGATACCTGAACTTGCCATTATTCTAAAAGAATTTGGTGTAGTTTAGTGTTTAATTTTGGTGTGTGTAACGACCCAGTAAATTTTGGCGCCGTTGCCAGGGACTTCTGGCGAAGTTAATTAATTAAAAGGTACATTCTTATTTTAATTTTTAGTTTAGGATTTTATGCTTTCGTGTTGCTAAGTGTGCAGAGTATTTGCAATTAGGGGTGCAACTCGGGCGGGTTCGGTCGGGTTAGGAGGTTGTCCAAGCCCAGCCCAAGTTGTGCTAAGACTTGCCTAAACCTGCCCAAGCCCGAATTGTAACTCGAGGTTGTCTACCCAAGCCCGACTCGAGTTAAACCTTAATTGCACGAGTTGCCCAAATTGTAAATGAATTTCAATTTTTGTTTTGTTTTGCAACTACATTATTAAATTATTAAAATTTGACTCTACTTACAATTTTTTTTTTAATTTTTTTTATAGAAAATCATTAATACCATCAAAACAAATAATTTATACAATGTAAGAGAGATGCTACTATAGTAATTCTTACAATTTATGAGTAAAAATAAAAAGAAAAAAAAGTAAGATTTTATGTTATTTGTATATATAATATATATTTAATATGGTTTAACAATAAAAATTACTTTAACATCATGTAATGGCTAATAATTTATATGTATCTTTAATATTTTTATATATCTATATATGTATAATTCGAGTTTCGGGTTGTTTGACGTCTTTGCCCAAGCCCGCCCAAATTTAATTCAGGCTTCTGAATTTTTTCCCAAGCCCATACCAATTTTGAAAATATTTTTCCCAAACCCTAAAAAAAATCGAGTTGGGCTCGGGTTGCTCGGGTTGGGCCCGTCCAAGTTGCACCCTTATTTGCAATTGGAACCGTCACTGGAGTGCAAGCAGAGTGCAGCCAAGTTTTTAAACAAAAATACCGTAGCACCAAAGTGCTAAAAAAAACATAAGCAAAGCACCAAAGTGCTAAAAGAAAGACAAAGCTCAATTGGAGGTTGGAGACAACATCTATACGTCAAGAACCCGCAAGACGAGTAAAGCGTTTTCGTTAAATTGCTGTGAGTATTTCTCCCTTTGGTATTTTGCTTTCATACTTAGTGCACATAGTCGAAACTTAATGTGTGTGTATGAGTAGTGTATGCACGGGCGCCGTTCTTGTCGCCTTGAATTGTAGAGTTTGGACCTTGAACTAGAAAGGACTATTAGGAGACTTAGAGCCTCTGCCCGTGTTCCTAGGTTTGAATATTCATATCCATACTTTGAACCATTAGAGATGGAAATCCAAATGTCTCGAATGGGCCCAACCGGACCCTTAAGGATTATTTCACACCCACTACATATACATCACCATCATGCATCCAATTACCCGACACCACTACTGCTCATTATGAGATTAAGTCCAGCACCATACAAATGCTCCCATCATTCCATGGACTAGCTCATGATGATCCTTATAAACATTTGAATAAATTTCTGAAAATTTTCTCTACAGTGAGGATCCAGAATTTCACAAATGATGCCTTAATGTTGCGATTGTTTCTATTCTTATTAAAGGACAAAGCCAAGCACTGGCTGAACTCCTTACCTGCTAATTCAATCACAACTTAGGACCAATTACAGTAACGGTTCTTGGAGAAGTACTTTCCCATCAGTAAAACCAACCAACTTAGGCGAGCAATCACCAATTTTGCTCAAATTGATGGCGAACAATTTCATGAGACGTGGGAAAGACTTCGTGACCTTCTCCAACAGTGTCCCCACCACCAAGTGCCTGATTGGCAACTTGTGTAGACCTTTTACTATGGCTTAATTGAGCCTCACCGCCAAATGATAGATTCCTCTTGTGGTGGGACATTCATGTCAAAAAATGATGCCGAGGCATGGCAATTGTTTGAGAACCTAAGTGATAATTCCCTTCAT